TGTGTGTGTGTGTGTGTGTGTGTGTGTGTGTGTGTGTTGGCTCCAGTTGACCCCAGCAGACTGACTGCAGTACAACAACCTGACACTGGTGGGCGCACTGCAGCTTCCCGTCCAGCCCACTCACACCAGGGTCTGCAGCAGATGTAATCAAGCCCGCAAGCGTGACCCCCCCTCACACAATCCGGAAACAAGACTGCACTTCCTTCAAAATAAAATATCCAAATTAACAAACGTGCAGCCTGGATGTGTCAAAAAAAAAAAAAAGACTATAGGAAGCATTTTTTTTGTTAAATTTAAAATAAAGAAACTTTATTTGTATAGCAACTTTTACAAAAAGCTGGTGCTGATCTCCAGCAGCCACTGGTTGCAAGTCCATCACAATGACGCACAACCATTTTCACTAAGGCACATCTAGTGTCCACTCCTGGCCCTTGACGGCTGCTGTCCTGCATGTTCTACTTGTTTCTCTGCTCCAACACACCGGAGACTGGATTTACCTCTTCGAGTTCTGCAGATGCCTGGTAATCACCCAAACTCAAATCAGGTGTGTAGGAGCAGAGATACCTGTAAACACTGGAGGATAGTGACCCTCAAGGACCAGGATTGGACACCAGCAAATCTAAGATGTTAGTGCATGTGAAGAAATGCCAAGCGTGCACGGGGAGGACATGCAAGCTCCCCACATTCTCCTTAGAGACGAATCTGCGACTTTCTCACTGAGTGGCAACAGTTATTAGCCCTGCCCCACATGACCTACAAATGATACAACCCTGGTAGAAAGGATGAAGTGCAAAAATAAATGTTTTTTTAACTGTATATTTGTTAAAAGTATAAGTGCAACAAAATAAATGTGACCCATCATATCGAAATGAGGATTAAGTCAAATTTGGTCAAAATGATCTAATTACATTTTCAGATTCTTGGCTTTAAAAGCTACATTTTGACACCTGGATCATTCTGATATCATAATTAAATCCATATATATGACTTAATTTGTCTTGTTGGTTACAATAATACATAAATATTTGGTCTGAATCCTAATTTTATGTCATTTTAATGAGGAATTTTTGATGTCCTTATGAAGAGGAAACCACATATTATGTTTGAATATTGAGATTTCCCAGCTAAAAATGAACAAAGCTTTGCTAACTCACAGGGAAAATCTTAAAATTTTAAGGCGTTTTTTTCTCAAAATCAGTATTTTTTGTTGCTACTGCTCAAAAAAGTGCTTCAAATTTTAGTTTTATGATTATATTTCAGACAGTTCATTCAAATGATACATTGATAAGGCATTATATTTTGACAAAATGCAATTTTTGTTAATATTTTAGTCAAAACACTATTTGCCTATTTCTCCATGTACAACTTTTGGACTTAATCCTCGTTTCGATCTCACAAATGTGTTTATTTTGTAACTGCTACTATGGCATGAAAAAGGTATTGGCTGTTTAATATTTATTACAGAAAACAGTCTCAGACCATAGCATTTAATTTTGTAAAGTTTACTTCTTTAAAAAAAAGAAAAAGTAAAAATATGTTCAGGGTGCATTATTTTGAAAATTCTCCCCCGGAAGTTGAGCCTCCCCTCCTCCCCGCTCTGTGTTGACACCGGCCATTCAACAGATCTCAGAGCAGTCTGAGCTGCCGTGTTCTCTGCTTCACGCTCCTCTGGTTCCCGTTTCCGCTGCAACCCTTTCCCCCCGCATTTATCTGGAGCAACCGCCCCCGGCAGAGCCTCCGCAGCCCCGCTCGGATGCCGCTGGAAGCCGGTGCGTCACGTCGACAAGGTAGGCTCCAACAACCGGACGGAGAGAGGCAGAGAGGCAGTGCTCGGCTCGCGGCATCCCCGGCCTGTTGACTGCGTCGCTGAGACCAGGGTAACCGAATAGCGGTCAGGGTTAGGCAGGAGTCCCTGGTACCGTTATGTTAGCGCCGCTGCTAGGATGTGCTCTTGCTAGTTTAAAGCTCTGATTGTTGTTGTTGTTATTAACTGAGCGAAGCGAAAAGAAGGCACGTTTCTTTAAAACAACACCACGTAACGAACTGTTCGTGCAGCAGAACACAGCCCGGTGTAGGCTACATGTTTGCCCGCAGCCGTGCGGCTGAATGACCGGGTGTTTGTTTAACTTGACGGGCTGTTTAGCTCACATGCTAGCTGGACGTGCTCTGTTGGGTTTAAAACCGTGAAATGAGAGTGAAATGCTTGTGACCTGCTGTCTGCGTGAAAAACAAAAGACACAGGACAGTTTAAGTGTGTGTCCTTTTAAACACATTATTTTTCCTCTGTTAAATGAGTGAATGTCTGCCATACAGACAGCTGCCACGGTATCAGACATTTGCAGTGTAATAAAGTCAGGAGTTTGTTTCCTGTTTCTGGAACTGTAGTTAATGTGTAATAAGGCCTCTCTGTATGTGATAACAGGTGACTCACATAAACTGTGTGGTTTCATGTTCTCTAGGTACCTTTGGCATTTGAATCGATTCAGAACCAATATCCGGTACATGGGAATCGGTACCGGTACTTAACGGTACCAATTTTCGGTACTTTGTGTGTGTGTTTTTTTCAAAATAATAAATTTTTTTTTTACATATTTCTAAATATATAAAATTAACAAATATCAAGACAACATCCAACTCTTTGTATTGTAACATCAGTTGTGTAACTTATGTCTTTATGGTGAAAACTGTTGAAAACAACAAGACTGTTTTGTCTTATTACACAAATTAAAATCCAGCTCCACGTGTTTCTATTGATGTCATTTCCCCGCTAGAAAAATGTGTGATGGAGGTCCATGGAAATAAGTTTAAATCAAATAAGCAAAAAAAGGATGGAGTTAAAATAAATAAAAGGTATTTAAGCTACGTTTTGAGCATCTAAAACGTGTTCAACACTTCAAGTTAGCTGCTTGTGCTCTTTAGGTCAGACGTGTTCGGACTGTCGGGAAGCTCCTCTGTTGTTTTCCTCTGCTGGTCTCTGTTTAATGGTGGATGAAATAAAGAAAGTGGTGGTACTTTATTTACTTTGAGCAAGTGAACGTTGTGCTCACCAGATAATTAATCCTCCAGATAATTCAGAGGCGGTCTGTTCGGTGAGTTTTACTCCAGGAGCTGCGAGGCTTTCAGCTACATTCAGACTGAACTCTGCCTCTGTTTACTGCCAGCGGCTGCTGACGTCATTACGCTTTTGCGTGATGCTGTGTTCAGGACAAGCATGGAAAACTCGCCACTCTTACGTAGGGCTGTGTATTAGCCAGAATTTGGCGATACGATACATATCATGACAGAGGGGTCACGATACGATATATCCCGATATATTGCGATACTGTAAACAAGGCAATATATTGCGATTTTTTTTGTCCAAAAATTCTATTAAATAAAAACCTCTTACTGGGAAAAAAAAATGAAAAACCAAAATTCATTGTCTCAGAAAATTTTCTCAAAAATGTTACATAAACATACTTTTGATATATTTAGCTGTGTTCTGCTTTGTATGTATTTTATTTTATTTGTTTCATATTTCTTATTTCATCCATGTTTTCAATTATTAGACTAAATTTGCCAATAAATAATTTGAAAATATACAATCTGGTCATCCAACACTTAACAATAGCCTCTACCGAGCCAAATGGCTGGCTCACTGCTGCCAACTAGTGGTCAGAGGCTGAACTACAACATAAAAATGAACGGCTGGCAGGAAAGTTGACATTTTAAAGCTCAATAAAAAAATCGATACAGGGTTTTAGAATATCGATACAGTATCTGGAAATGAACTATTGCAATATTTCAGTGTATCGATATTTTCTTACACCCCTACTCTTACGCCAAACCAGTCGCGATGATGCGTTTAGGTACCGAAACATGGTACCGTTTGATGTTACGTGATAGTAGTACCGACAGAATTCGGTCTTTACATCAAAAAGTATCGAATTCGGTACCCATCCCTAGCTAAGTGTAGCTTCTCTTTTGGTAAGGTCTGAGGTTGGCCTTTTTAAGAGCGTGAACACCTCTTGGTTTTAATTCAATTACATATCAGAGCAGAGAGAGAACAATAAACTGGGCGATATTGGATACCTAATCAAGCCTACCAATAGGAAAATGAAGATGCAGCTGCTACCACTTGCTGTTTGTAGCCCACAATTTAATTTTAAAACCAACAATTAACTGTACACGTTCTTATAAGGATAGTTAAATAAATGTTTAAGTATTTATTGTTGCATTTTGTTGAATGGAAAATTGTTTGCCATGAAAAACACCAGCATATATCATATTGGCTGATCTGATTTCTAAAGACTGGCATTGGCCTAAAAATGAATAAATAAAAAATCAGCTGACCTTTAGCTACGATGCATTTATAAGAGAATAATTATGGATGTGATAAACATGCTTCCGACACGATTCAGAAAATTAACTCTTTCAGACACAAAAGAAACTATAAATGATGCTCTAATGGAATAAACAAAATAAATGTCATAATGCTGAACTCAGACATATAAGTGTCTGTGTCAATATATGTCCATGCGACATATTAGAGCAACCTTATTTGCTTTTTTAAGTGTTTCTGTAACTTTACCCAGAGAGCAGGGGATGTGACCTAGGGCTGCACCAATTAATCGATTAATCGATGACTAATTTAATAATCGATTAATCGTTTTCTTTTTTTTGTTCTTTACTTTGTTTTTCTCTTCAAACTGCTTTGACACCTTCCACTGCCACATCTGCCTTTCTGTCCTTGACACACATGCACAGTCGTGGTAACTGGGGTAGGCCATGGACGTCACAAGTAGGGCTGCACCGATTAGTTGAAATAATCGATGACGTCGATTATGTAAATTTGTCGTCGCAGATTTTTTATTATCGATGCGCTGTATTACATAACCACCAGGTGAATGTTCATGCAATTCTATTTCGGTACCTAAATGCATCATTGTGACCGTATTGGCATAAGAGTGGTGAGTTTTTCATGAAAATATTACAATTACAGAAAACATTACAATATTAAAGAACTGTTCTTGTTAATGTAAGGGTCAGC